ATATGCACTCTCATTACAGGGTGACAGTATATCCCAGTTGTCTGAAATCCTCCGGGATTACACCTCATGATTTTAACATAGTTTTTAACAGCACCCTTTTCACTCTCAAAAGTATCTTTGCTCGGATGATAAATTTTATGTCAAGTATTATACTTTAAAGTTTAAAAAAACTGTACTTCATTTTTTTTTTAATTGTACCAAAAATCTTCACAGATTAAGACAGGAATCCCAACCACCCCCTACTTCTCTGCACTCTTCTCAATTAATAGTTTTTAACTTTGTTTTGAAATGATAGATCTTGACTATGGAGCATTTTTAATAAAATGAATAGCTGCTCCATGTTGAAGAACGACGACCACAGAGAGGCTGGATGGAGCCTGTGCTCTCTGCGTGGATGGAGTGGCCCACTGCCAACGGGATGTCACTTTCATTAAGTTACTGAGAGCCTCAGAGACCTTTCTAAATCAGGCACCGCCGTGCTGGCGAATGTAAGTGGATGTCCTCATGCCTAACAAAGAATTCCCTTTACTTGACCAGATTTCTCTCATCTTTGTGTGACTCAGTTTCTCTGTCTAAAAGCGCACAATAATGCCCACTTCACAGAGATGTAGTAGGATTAAAGGGACAATAGCCATAGGGCCCTCTCAGCTCCCAGGAACAAAGATATTAAGTAATTGCAAAATGTTCGGTTCTGCTTCTCCAGCTTGTGAAAACGGGGCTCCCACTGACTTGAAAGAGAGCATCATACACAGATAAGGAGAAACCCACGGGAGAGCAGAGCCTATTATTACCTTCATTATCATTGTCCTAAAGTACAGATGAGAGAGACGGCAACAAAGAAGCTAAAGAATGGTGGTCACTGAAAAACAAGACAAGGACTAACCAACAGGCCACAGAAGCAAATCTGAAAAGATGAACGTCTTAGTTAAAAATTAATCAGCGAAGACTATATGCCAAAAACTAGGAACCATCTACCTATGCTCTGGTCACTTTAGTATAATAACAAATCATGTATTTTTCACAACAGAGTCTGCCCTGTGCCTCCCTCTACCCTTCCCTACATTATCCACTCAAATCCAAATGCCTAATGGCAGTTCAATGGCCACTTTCAGAGTGCATTAAATTGTAATGCTCTGATTCCACAGCAAGGTACATTCAAATGATTAACCAATAGATAATGAAATTGAAACTGGTAATACTACTTAGGCATAAACTATTAAGACCTCCAAAAGTGAAGAATGAGTTTGGACAAGTAGAAAGTGCCATTGTTGCTTTGGTGAACTCACAGTCAAGTAGATGTAAGACATTCTCCTGCACATTAATACATGCTACTAAAATCAAATGTCAAAAACGATCAACAGTAGGTGATGTCGCTCCAAGCCGTACTTTCTCAGCAAAAGTCCTTCAGAGCACCCTGGGCATCCACAGAAATTCACAAATCAATTTGCCAAATTGCCTTGGCTGGAAATCACACTTTTGGGCATGGGTCTTAGCTGAAAGGCACTTCTTTTTTTTTTTTTTTTTTAGCTGAGCCATCCTGCTACCTGTTGGCAGCTCAGCGGCTGCTCAGCTCGGGCTGGACTCGAACCGCTGTTGCTCAGAGCTCAAACTCTTGAGCGAGCTCTTAACCAACTGAGCCACTCGGCCGGCCCCTGAAAGGCACTTCTGAATCTACCAGACTCTCCCAGGGCTTCTTCGACCAGTGCCAAGAATTGGGCGACATCATAAAAAGAGCATGGACTTCAGGGTCAATTAGACTTGGGCTCAAATTCTAGCTCCAGCATCTCACTGGCTGAGTGACTTAGGGATAAACCATTTGACCTCTCTGAGAAGTGGATTACATAATCCTACCAGCCTTACAAGGTGCTGGGAGGATTAAATGCTCCACACATGTCAAAGAGCCAAGTGCTATACTTAGCTTGACCTATTCAATATAGCTAAAAACCCAGAATGAGAGAAGCCCACCCCCAAAACCAAAGGCTCCCTCGCTCCAGGTGGACAAGTAGGCCAGGTAGACAAGTAATAGAAGAGACAGCCATTTTTAAAACATTAACATAAAAAGCCTGCATATACTCGACCAAAGTAGGGTCCTTAATTTAAGCACCTGGAAGAACCAAACTGCAGTTCTAATCATGCAAAAATTCTTAGATGTCCAAAGGTATTCTATGTTACAACCTATATAATTCTGCGCATGTAGAAATTATGCACATGGTTCATCTCTTTTAAAACCACACACTTTGGCCATTGACAGGGGGCTTCTCAGGGGCTACCCTTGGTCCTGAATGTGTAAGATGAAGAAGCAAAGGGAAGGGTCTCTGAGTACCCCATCAGCCTTCTCATTCTACAGGTAAAACAACCAAGGCTTGGAGATGGGAAGTTGCTTGCCCAGAGTCAAACAATGAAGGATTGTCGGGGAAGCCACTATAAACCAAACCTGCGACAAAAATAATAATCATCTCATTACAGAGCTTTATTGACAGATATTTCAATTCCATAGCCAAACAATGTCACTGGCCTGGCAGGTACCTGGTCTGTCCTTCAGGAAGAAAGTTTTCCCCCAATATCACAATAGACGGAAACCTGCTAAGATAGGTCAGGCACACTGTACATTTCCCAGTATGACATGGAACCTAGCTTCTAACATGTCTCAGGGGATCAAAAATCTGAAAGACAAAAATAATCATCAAAAGAACCCTTTAAATATTGATGTGACATTTGCTGTGGCCTGGTAACAGATCTTGTGCTAGGCCTGCCACCTTGGTAAAATGTCATCATCTGAACATAATTTCTCAGAGGAAAGATAACAAGTCAAATATTTAGCACACATTTTTAGAGTGTCCATTGTGCTCTTTTCTACGAAAATCAATTTCTCCATTTAAATGTCTGAGCATAATAGTTTCTAACCACTAATCAGTATCTTTTAAAAGGCGACAGCCTATACAGAACAAGATTTGCAAACACCTAAGCAGAATGAGTGCCCTGTTTCATAATTCTCCAACTGTTAATCATCGCTGATTATTAATTCTGCATCTATCTCTGGGATTAGGGCAACATTTTATCTTCAATATGTTAATTTAGAGATGGGTTGTCCTGCGACTAATTTCCAGAACAAAGTAACTTCAACACTTAAAGCAGTATTATACCAAAAGCCCTTGCAGGAGGGCTAGCCGAGTGGCACGTTGGTTAAGAGTTGGCTTGGGACACCAGCTCTGAGCAGCAGGGCTCTGGTTCAGATCCCACATGAGAGCCAGTGACGCTGCGCCCTCTACATCTAAGATGGTGAACAACAGCTCGACCTGGAGCTGGGCTGCTGTGAGTCACTGGCAACGGTGTAGGCTGCACTAAAGCTGCAGTGGGCTGCCATAAGCTACCGAGAGTGGCTGGCAGCCGGCGTGAGCGGCCGGCATCCAGAGTGAGCTGCCAAGAGCTGTCGTGAGCAAACGTCCAGTGGCCAGCGACCAATCTGCCTCACCCGGGAAGAGCGCAATGATAATACCAACATGGGCCAGTGAAGCGACGTCCTCCACAACTAGACTGAAGAACAAAAGGACAGCAACTTGTCTGTTCCCCTCCCCCAATTCTCCAATAAAATCTTTTAAAAAAAAAAAAAAAAAAAAAAAGCCCTTGCAGGAGACGACCACCGAGACCTGGGTAGGATGGAAGCGAGAGGAGGGCATGAAGTCTGGGGACCTCAGGTTTTTAGGATGGAGAGATCACAGAATGTGTCTGAAGGCTGAGGGGAAGGAATCCGAATTAAGAAAAAGTTGAAAATTCAGAGGACAGAGATAGAAATCCTTGAGAGGATGATTAGGAACGGGTCCCAGGGCATTGTTGAAGAGAAGATGAGGGGAATAGGAGAAGAGGCCAGAAAGGAAGGGGATATAAGGAAGAAAAGGGAAGGAGGAGAGGAAGGGGAGAGAGGAAGGGAGGAAGTGCCAGATGTAGAGACATTTTTGAAAGAAGTTTAGGTGACATTAGCCATGGAGGTGAGAAACTATGAACTAAAAAGGACCTTCCCACCAAAAGGTTTGGCATCTAACAGAGAAGTTCTGCTCAGCCACATAATTGTACATTGTAAATACATACTCAGGGATTAGATTTTATTCTGCTTAAAACTTTTTTATTAATTTCAGGTGTACAAAACAACATAATGATTAGGCACTTATACACCTCACAAAGTAATAACACAAACAAGTCTGCTACCCATCTGACACCGTACACAGCTATTACAACACCACTGACAATACTCCCTATGCTGTACATTACATTCTGTGGGGGAGAAATATTGGGTTGTCAGAAAAGTCATGATGTATTTTTTTCTATGTTTTCCGTTGCAAAAATGTGTCATAACTTTTCCGACAATCCAATAATGGTTGATATTCAATATTATTTTATATTAGTTTCAGGTGTACAGCGAGTGTTTAGGCATTTATATAATTTATGAAGGGATCCCCCGATAAACCTAGTACCCATTTGACACCACACATAGTTTTACAACATTATTAACTATATTCCCCATTGCTTAAAACATTTTAATTGATGTTTTCTCCTAAGGAATATATTCTATTAGTAATGGAGGAGAAAGAAATCATTCCATTAGATTGATTTTTGTGGAATAACAATTCAAAACTACTTGAATCCCAGCCTTGATCAAAGTTATATATCAATGTGGGGGTAAAAAAAAAAAAACACCTCTCTTAAGAAAGAAAAACTCAAACTCTAAATTATCAGGTTAATTCACAGCGTGAATGTAAGAAAAAGCAAATACACAGTTTGATATTTGGTTTGCAAAGTGAGAAAAGAAAGCGTATTAAATTCTATAGAATCAGCTTTTATGATCCCAGAAATACTAAGAATGCGATAGTTTTTTTGGCTCTGATGGTTTGTAAATATCCAGAAGAGCCCAGATTTTGAAGCCCTGAGGACACTTGCTAAAACTCAGAAATTTGGCACTCGCCTTTGCGCACAATTTGGGTTTTCTTTCAGAGTTGATATCTTACCAAATACAGCCATCTGTGTTCCCTCTGGGAAAGGTTCGACTGTTCTGTTGCCATTGACATGGTGTTTGGCTAGAAAAAAAAAAGAGGGAAAGAAAGAAATGCAAGTTAAGTGTAAAGTTCTACACACATACTAACACATGTCATAAAATGTGTCTCATGTTTAGCTAGAAATGGCACCAAAGCTTGCCCTCTTAAGAGAGTTTCGATGATTTTGTTTTTAATCTGTTACAGAAGAGCCTAACGATGCCTGAAGATGGTCTAGTTCAGGCATGCCATTTTGCAAATGAGTGTGCCGGGGCCCGACCTTATGCGGAGTTGGACAGCTGGTGGTGGCAGAGCCAGCCCAACCTGAAAGCTCCCGACACCTAGCCGGAGGGCCCTCAACTGTGCCAGGCCATTGCCTGGAGAACAAGGGAAGCTCCAAGTTCCGCGGTGAACTGGAGTGGCTGCCCCTGAAGGCTCCTGATGATCAGAACATTGAGCCGATCAGTCAAGTGAGTCATAAAAACAGCAGGGTCACATGGGGGCCAATTTTTCAAGAAACAGAATAGCAGAACACATCATTTCAATACAATTTGAGTACTGTTTCCAGGAGCCAGACACCTTCTTGTAGACCAGACAGATTCTTTAGTGATTATTGCTGCTCTTCATCCCCCCTAGCCCCCTCTACCAATCATCCTTCCCACCCCAGTGCATATCAAGGATTTAGAAACAAAAAGCAACCAGGTTATGGCTTTCCAGGATTAACGTGTTCTCATAACCCTCAAACTGCAGCCAGATAGAGAATACCTGAGTGTGGTCCATCCATAAGCATTTCAATAATAGCCTTAGCAATTTTTTAATATAGGCATTTATGTTGCAAATGCATAATAGAAGAATTGCTAAAATGCTCTGACACTGCATCGTGCAGCACATATATTTTGATTTAATGGGTCACATTAGATTTATTGAACTCTGGCAAAGCGCTCAGCACAAAGGTTAGGCTCTGAGGGTCTAGGCGGAGTATGACATGGTTCTTGCCCTCGAGGAATCATCTCCCAGAGGTAAAAATTTCAAAGGCAGACTTTACAATTCTGTGCTAAGTCCTGGAATGGGGACTAAAGGTGCTGTATGAGTTCACAGCAGAGGGACGGTAAGTTGGGAAGTAACAGCCGGCGACCTGAAGGAACTGCAATTAGTATAGAGTTGAAGGAGGCAGGTTTGGAAAGGGAGAGGGTGAGGGAGCAACCTGAGAGAGTGCCAAACCTGAGAGAGTTAGAAGTAAACAAGGCATCGCCCTGGACCACAATAAAGTCTAACCTGGGCATAGTGGAGGTGATATGTTGAGAAGCGATGGCAAAGAAGGACCAATTAGTAGGCAGGGACCAGGTCATGGAGGGTCCTGAGAACCCCACCTAAACCCCTGGGAGCCTCAGGCAGCCTCTACAACACAACACCACCGCAGTCTCTTAGAACCTGAAGGCTTCCAAGATTCAGTCCAGTGTAGACAATCCCTTCAGAACAACATCAGTTCAGGGGTTGCCACTGGTTCTTAAGTAATTGTGGCACCATCCTAAGAAGAGCAAACCTGGGAGGACGGAAGGGGCCAGCCCAGGGTGAACAGAGAGCAAGTCTCTCAGTAATCTTTAGGCACTAATTGTTTTGTTTTGTTTTGTTTTTTTAGCTGCACCATCCTGCCACCTGTTGGCAGCTCAGCAGCAGCTCAGCTCGGGCCGGGCATCGAACCGCTGTTGCTCAGAGTTCGCACTCGTGAGTGAGCTCTTAGCCAACTGAGCCACTCGGCCGGCCCCTTTAGGCACTAATTGGAACAATTAGCAGATGCAAGAGGAAGGGTCCCAGGTGACACCAGACCTTCCCAAGCACTCACTGACATGGTTAGGACGACTGGTGACTGAATCCAATGAAATGTCATGAGGCCCCAAGTGGAAGTCCCAGTTCTCGTCTATGGGGAGCATCCCAGAGCCCTGCCAGTGTTTCCAAAAACGTCTGCCTTTACATATTATCAAGAGTTATAAACCCATTCAAATTCTGACCCACTAATCCCACTCCAAAGAATTCAACCTAAGGGAAAATGCAAGAAAGAAGAAAAAAGGTGATACACATAACAATAGTGATTGAAGTATTATTACTTCTAATAATGAAATATTAAAATCAACTAAATATCCAAAAGTAGAGAAACTGCTTATGAAATTATAATGCATGATTCATCAAAAGCATGGAATATTATGCAACATAATTTAAATATAGTATTTGAAAGCTATATAGGGACGTGGAAAAGTATCTGGGATAACGGTAAGTGAAAACAATCCTATTACACATTGGATGTAGATTATAATGACAACTAATTAAAATATGAATGCTTATGGGAAAAGACTGCCAGAGAAACATGCAAAAATGAAATAACTAGGGAGATTATGCAAGATATTTACCTTTATTCATTTCCTTTGTCATTGTTAGATTCTTATTTCTGGATGAAAATGTTTGCTTGGATTTTTCTTTAAATCAACAAAACTATAGATTAAAAAACAAAATTTCCCCAGTACATAGTTTCCCAGGGCAGTTCATCAAGGCTTATTTATAGCCCAGCTGAAACGTTACACATTTACAATAAACAGTGTATCCTATTTGACATCTCCTCTGGGACAGCTCAAAAGCACCTCCAACACAAAATGACCTTCTCCTCCAAAACTGACCCTCTTCCCGCATCCAGACCTCTGGGAACAAGACCACCATCCCCCTACCTGTTCTCTTGCCAATTCTCTCTCCCTCACCACCCACATCCAATGTATCGCCAGATCAAGTTGAATTTGCCTTCCAGATGTCTTTAGAATCCTTCTGCTTCTTCCCTTCACCACCAAAAAACCACTCCAGTTCCAACTGTTATAGCCTCCTTGCCTGGACTCATCCAAGTGCCTCTAGCTCGAAATTCTAACACAGCTTTCAAGGACCCACGTCATCTGGCCCCCTTGGTCCCTCATTCCTTCTATTATGGGGACCAACGGCCTTCTTCTGCAGCACTCACTAGAGCTGCACCTTACACTTAGTCATTATTTGGACAAGTAGACTGTAAGCCCAGGGAGGGCAGGGCTCACATATCTTTGGGCTCTTTATATCCACAATCCTATTACAGTATGGGATATAAAATAGGTATTCAATAAATATTTGTTAATTAATAAAGGAAGGCATAAGTAGTTCTAAAAAGTCTCTCTTTAGCCATTATGAAAGATATATTATTTGATACACTAAAAATCTCTCTCTCTTTATATGTACATGTATGTGTCCCTTATGAAAAAAGGATCATTAAAAATGCATTCAGAAACACATTCCCCAGTCAGGTGACCTGGAGACGTAGGAACTCCTCTGTTCCACTCCTTAAAAGTCCATCCCTCTTCCTTCCCATTCACCTACTCTCACTTGAGAAGGCAGAGTTGCTGGCAGAGGTGGAAAGGCCAGAAACGTCACCTGAACTGGAGAGGAAGGCGGAAGTTCAAATGCAACTCTCTCCTCACTGCTAATGTTCTCCTGGACCCTGTCTTATCTTTTATTTTAGAGCTTGAGGCCCCAAAATAACAGGGTCTATAAACTTGATTTTGCATTTCCTTCTGAGCTGTAGCTGAGTCTTACATCAGCCCCTGGACAACAAAGACAGAGCATTAGCCAGCAAGATGCTGTACAGTATCAGCGGCTGAGGACATGGGCTCTGGAACGAGAATGCCTGACGTTGAATCTCCCCTCTCCCACTTCCTAGCTGTATGAGCTTGGCTTAGTCACTTAACCTCTTTGTGCCTCTATTTCCTCATTTGTAAGAGTTTCTTCATTGTAAGCTTTCCATTAGTACCTACCTTGTCAGTTGCTTTGAGAATTAAATGAGTTAATAGTAAAGCACCCAGAACAGTGCCTGGCACATAGTAAACACCACTTAACTATTAGGCTAGTGTTATCATCTATTTTATTTCTCACAAGATCTGAATCAGGAATGACAAATACATGGCATATTTTCGCCTATCCTCCACTTTCATGCCCTTGGCAGACATCACTAATCTACCATAGCATAGTTTCTCAATCCCCAAATGTGACCACAAAATCCTTTCTCAACTTAGCACCCCATAGAGTCTTTCATTATTTAGAGAGAACATGTGTGATGAAATCATTCTATTCCTGGACCCAGGCTGAACGTCTAAGGGCACTTTCCCGCTGAACCTCTGCTGAGGCTAGTATTTGGGAGCCAAAGAAAGAAAGATCCTTTAAACACATTATATAGGTCAAATAAGACCGGGGGCAGAACAGGGGGATGGTGGGGGGGGGGAACTAACCTTGGAACCTAATGAGCATTATAAATTTTTTTTCAAAATGGGTGGTACATTTCACCACAGAAACAATCAAACTGAACAGAAAAGTTACCCATTGATTGGCTAAATATTGATTACCAGCAGAGCAGGAAATGGAGACAGGAGGGAGTCTCTGACAGGGACATCTGTTGCCTGGCCTCAGCAGGGTGTAGGTCTCCCATCTGGCTGGTAGGGCAGATGTCCCTGCCTCTACTCCATGGGGGCACATTCCAAAACCACAGGCTCCAGGAGGACAACCTCTGCTGATGGCCATGACGTGCCCTCAGTCAAGGGTATGTGAGGACAAGGAATAGATTTTCCTTTATCTTGAAAGCCCAGTGCTTGAGGAGCAGCAAGGTTAATCAGCGCAAGATTGGGTCAAAGTCAGAACTACTGGAGAGGTTTTTGCAAGGGATTTGGGAACATGTGTTCAAAAGCTTTTTATAAGATGATACTGATATTATTATTTTTTCCTCTTTTGAATGTCTATTGTGCTTCCAACTTGATGACTGCTTTCTTCCTTGAAAAAAAAATACAATAAAACTGTTCGATAATATAGCTGCAAAAATGCAAATTCAGACATAAACCAACCAGTGATTAGCTTCATGTCCTGTGTGCAAACTGAGAGAGCTAAAATTCATATCTTTCTGGGTGAGGGAGATTGGAGATTGGAGAGTTCAATGACAGGGAAGTGGGGGACTGGTGGGCTCCCAGACCCTCAGGATTCTCCTGAAGGTCCAA